AACATCACAATTCCAGCTACTGTGATTAAAATCAGCATGGTACTGACAAAAAAAACCCAAAAATAGACCTTAGGATCAATGGAAAAGATTGGAAGATGTAGACACAACTACATGCACAATCAGTCACCTTGTCTTTGTCAAAGTGGCTAAACTTGTTCATTGGAAGAAAGATAACCTCTTTAATAAATGATGCTGGAAATACTGCCTTTCCACATTCCAGAGGCTTAAAATAGACCCAAGCCTGTCACCGTGCACAAAATTACCATGAAAATAAATCAAAGATTTAAATATTAAAACTGAAACACTAAATTTTCTGGAACAGAAAGTAGGTAGGAAAATTAAAGACATTGGAGTAGGTAAAGAGATCATGAACAAAAATCAAAATGCGTGTGGAAATCTTTAAAGAAACAACAATTGGCATCTCATCTTTTTAAAAAGCTTCTTCACATCAAAAGAAATCACTGACAGAATGAAAAGAAAAATGATGAAATAGGAAAGAATAATATCAGACTGTCCATCAAACAAAGGACTCCTATCTAGAATATATAAAGAAATGAAAGATATCAAGCTGTGAAAATACAAAGGCAAACTCCTAAAATAGGCATTTGAGATGAATATACACTTTAGAAATAAAGAGATACAATGGCAAATAAATGCATAAAAATGCTCAACATTATTGGTCATTTAAGACATGAAAAGCAAAAAAAAAAAAAATGCTGAGATATCATCTTATGCCAGAAAGAATATGTATCATCAAGAAGTCAACCAATAACAAATGCTAGAGAGAGACTGTGGGGGAAAAGGAACCCAACTCCACTGTTGTAAGACTGCAGGCTGGCAAAACCATTATGAAAATCATTATGGAGATTCTTCAAAAAGCTAGCATTGAAGGACCCATTCAAATGAAGTATTTTTCCAAAAGAACTGAAATCAACATATCACAGGAATGTATGTGCACCCATGTTTATAGGAGCACAATTTCTCATAGCTAAATCTTGGAAACAACCCAAATGCACATCAACTGAGGAATGGATAAAAAAGTTAAGGTATTTTTACACAATGAAGTATTATTCATCTATATAAAAGGATAACTTTGAGGCTTTCACTTGGATGCAGCTGGAGACTATATTGGCAAGTGAAATAAGTCAGATCCACATGTGCCAACATCATATTATCTCACTAGTGTGAGAACTTGAAAGAGTAGTGAAAATCCTTTCTATTCTTGAATAGTTTTACTTGTAAGTATTTATTTCCTGACTGCTCTTAATGATGGAAATGAACTATGCTTTGGTAATTGGTGCTACATGGAGGATATTTAAACTGATCTTGTTCTTCAGTGAATGTTTTCACAGATTCCAGTAAATAAATGGGTACTTTGTGGACAAAGATAAATGTATGCTTATCTTTGTCACAGATATAACAGGGAAATACACTAAGGTTAAGTTGCTGATTTATCCACAAGTATTAAATCTCTGTAAGCAAAATCAGTGTCTACTTCACACAAATGCCTGTCAGTACATCAGTGAC